TAACTCCAATGGGGTGTTGCACGCGTGGAAAGGAGAACAGTGACTGTGACATTCTGCTTTCTTCAAGACTGATTTCACAAAGTCTTTTGTATCCTCATTGACAATGTGGTCACTGGGACCATTGGACTCCACTCCTCTGAAATGAAGCTCATTTAGGTTGGAAAAGACTTCTAAGATCTCAAGTCCTACCATTAACCCAGCAACAGTGGTGCCACAGGCGGGGCTGGTGGGGCAGGGGTGTTAACCTGGAGATGGGGTCAGAGCTGTGCACTTAGAGCTCTTTTCACAGACCAGGTGTGTTGATTTGGCAGAAAGTTTGTTACCCACCAGGTGATTTTCACTGAGAAAAATACCATTATTGAGTTGCTCAGGGGAGTCTGGTGTAGTCCAGCAACCAGTGGCTTATCTAGTGGCCAACACCAGCTTTCCTGCTCCTATGTTTGGGATGGTGTTTTCAGAGCTGGAGGACTACAGACCCAGCCTTCATCCCACATTCAGTTGTGCATTTCTTGATTTATCAAGGAAACTTCTGTGGGCTCTAAGGTGCAGTTTTATTAAAATGTCCTTTTTTCCTAACTCCAGAGGAGGGTTACAAAACATGCTGAAATTTGTTTTTCACTCTTCAGGGCTTCCAGAACTCTGTGCTCATCTATCTTACGTTATTTTTCTTTCTATTTGTGGTTTTGAGGTCATGGCTCCAGAAATGTTAACTCTTCAAGTGAAGTTCTGAGCCAAAACCAAATTCTCCTTGGAGGAAATACTGACATTTCTACTGGTGCCTCACAGCTGGAAAACACAGAAATAGATACATGGTAATTGATCTCTCCTCTGATCAAAAAGTATCTCATGAAAAATGCTGAATGATAGTGTTGGGTGCATAGCACAAACAGACACAAGCTTTCCCACAAATATTTGTTTGTCTTAAATAAGTCTTCTTGGCTCTGCTCATGTCTTGCCAGAGTTTATTTTCCACAAATATTCTAACAAGAGCTTGTTAGCAAGAATACACACAGAAAATGCTCAAGGTAATATCTGACTAAACTATTTCTGAAGGTCCATTTTAAGGCCAGCAACCCTAAAATCCTGCTATTTTCATGCTTTTGGACTTAACCATCCCCATGGGAAGGGCAGCATTCCCCCTGGAGGAGACCAGGCGTGGGGATGTGGCTCTGAGTCATGAGTCAGATCCTTGTTCTGCTCTGGGGAAGATGCTGATTAACCAGTGACAGCTGGAGAACTGAGACTGCATTTCCATGGTCAGAGGTAAAAAGCTCTAGAAAGGCTCTTCCCTGCTCCCTGCTTTGTGTTATGTGAAGGCAGGAGAACCAGGGGGCTCCTCTACTCCCTCTTCCCTGGATGGAGGTGACACTCCCAGTGATGTCCCACGTACAGTACAGCCAAGGGAGCAGTGAGGGTCCTGAATATGCAGGTTTGGGTCAATGGCCTGGCTGCACAACACTGCCCTTCTGCCAAAAACTAGGGATAGCAAAATTCCCTTCCCTTTCCTTCCCTTCCCCGAACACTTAGGAGACCAAGATCCTGCTGGAGCAGGCTGCAACATGAATCCTCCAGGCAGTTTATATATAGCCTGAGAGAATCAAAGAGCATTATTTTAAGTTCATGACCTAGTCTTCATTTTCCTTGGAGCAACCACAAAGCAGCTCAGCTCAGACTTGCACTGTGAATGCAAGACTGGGGCACCTTCTCTCTCCTGTGCTTGAGCAATGGAGCAGATCCTTGGGGAAGCCCCACAGCAAACTGGTACTGCAGAACTGGGATGCTGGGGCTGCACCTTCCAACTCACTGCAGAGCCTGACTGCTTCAAGTCTGGCTTCAAGCCTGATTCAGAAGAAAACTGCTGAAACTCTCCTCAAAACCAAAGGGAAGACCATTCTGGATAGATTAAAGCATTTAATTTTTATTGAGAATCCTTTACTTTCTATTATTACAGTATAAAATAAACAATAAAACAGGGTTGCAATTCCAGAGTGAAAAATATCACAGAATCATAGAATCATATAAAATCCTGAGTTGGAAGGGACCCTGAAGGATCATGGCATCCAACTCCTAGCCCTGCACAGGACACCCCAAGAATCACAACATGTGCCTGAAAGTGTTGTCCAAATGCTTCTTGAACTCTGTCAGGCTGTGCCCACTGCCCTGGGGAGCCTGTTAAGTGCCCAGTGACCCTCTGGGTGAAGAAGCTTTTCCTAATATCCAACCTAAATCTCCCCTAACTCAGCTTCAGGCCATTCCCTTGAGTCCTGTCACTGGTTATGAGAGTGAAGAGATCAGTACCTGCCCTTCCGCTTCCCCTTGTGAGGATGCTGAAAAGCACAACAAGGTCTCCCCTCAGTCTCCTCCAGGCTAAACAGACAAAGTGACCTCAGCCACTCCTCTTATGGCTTCCCCTCGAGGCATTTCACCATCCTCATGTCCCTCCTTTGAATGCTCTCTAGTAGCTTTATTATATCTTTCCTACATTTCAGTGCCCAAACCTGCACACAGGACTCAAGGTGAGGCCACTGTTGTGTTCTTTTCTTTTCCTTTTTTTTTTTTTTAAACCTGGTCAGCCTTTGGGAAACACAAATAATTTTGAATGCATTTTGATAGAAGCAATTATTTTATCAGCAGAGTTTCAGACTTATCCTGTCAGCTCTATTAATGATACTTAGCACTTCTTCAGGTACCTTAACCAGTTTCTCAAAGCACATTATGAAAGTATATGGTTAGCTCTATTCTGGACTGATGTGTCTAAAGCTGAGCTGGAAAGTTTTTCATTTCACTTCTAAACCATCATTGCCACTCGGCCTCTGTGAGTTACACTTGTACAGTCAGGAAATGAAACCGTTTTCACGCTGCCTGTCAAATTGGGCAGCACAAACTGGCTACAGCCCCCCCTCGACAGGACAGAGCACCATGGCAGGAGCCAAGAGATTCTCCTCTGCCACCACCTTCCCATGGGTCTGTTTGCAAATCTCCTCACTGCAAATCTCCTCACTTTTTCCTCCTCTTTTAGGCTGCTGGGTGTGTTCAGACTGGAAATCCTCTGCAAAAAGCACAGTGGCCTCCTGCTGCCATTGCCACTGATGCTACAGGGTGGAAGGACCACACAGATAATTTTGGAACAGGAGATGTGACAGGGTGGAAGAGAAAACCAGAAGCATTTTTGCAGAAACGTTGCTTGAAAGCGTTTTTAACAACTCTTCTGGGTTTTATTATCTCTTTAAAAAAAAAATAAAGAGCGCAAAACTTACTGATTGGACTTAAAGAAAATAATGACTCTTGCAAAACATGATCCCAAACAGTTGTGATATTAGCAGCCACCCCTTCAGCATTCTGGTTACGTAGGCACTGAATGAGAAAGGCAGAAGGGTATGTTTGGAAAGGAAACCGATTTTTCACAAGTTCCTCCCTCCACAGCGGGAGACCACAGACTGAGAAGAGCTGACTACCCTTCTGGTAGCAATAATGCAACTGTGCTATTCATAGCGAGACAGAAAAACACCAGCTGATTTTCTTTGCATCATAATCTGGTAACCTCGGAATTAACCTTGCTGGACACAGATCTGTTAACTTTCACCATGCTGCTCCCATTAAACTAGTGAAGTCTGGGACAGAAATAGCTGCCCACAGCTGTTATGAATTGATATATTCCCTGATGATGCTTGGCATTGCCTGCAGAAAAAAGTTTCTTATTTTATTCTCTGCCACGAAGTCAATCTTTTTTTTTCCTTTTTTTTTTCTTCCTATTTTTAATATTCTTTCATTGCAAACTGATGGTATTAGACTGCTGTGCTATGCTTTGCTTGGAATGGAAAGCAGACACGCTTCTTGAGTCTGCTCTGCAATGGTAACTTCATAGCTGATGGTTTTGGTTTAGGAAAGGAAGGGTGGAGGGCACTGGCCAGGGCTGCAAAGCTGCAAGTGCATCAAGTTACACCGGAGTGTGCCCTGAACTTCCAGCGCTGACAAGGAGCTACAGACCCTGAGATATCCCCTGCCCAGCTGGCAATGACAGAGAGAAAGGGATAGATCCACCTGAGGCCACATCCAGATCACACACAGAGGCAGCCACGGGTTTAGTGCGTGCTCAGAACAGAAATCCCCAAATCTGCAAGTGGCAGAAAAACGGCAAAATCCCCAAATCTGCAAAGCCACCACTGGAAACTGTTTTATGTATGTACCAAGCAGATCTTAAAAACACATTAAGGTCTCTTTGATCTTTCCCACACCTGTTTAGGACTCTTGGGGGTGGCCATCACAGCTGAAGGACATTTAAGCACTGGTTGAATATCACATCCACAAAGTAAAGCTTTCATATAGCTTTTTGAGCCCTGTTTGAAAACTGACTTAATTATCAACAGTCACACTGTGTCCTTGGGACATACAGCATGTTTACTGAAAACAAAGTAAAGGAAGATGTTTAAAGTGAAAACAGTGACAGCAAAAACCCACATGAACTCTTGACTTGATGGCGAGAACATTTGTAGGGCACAGACAAAGCAGCCCACGTGTCAGATCATCTGCTCAGCGCTTGGCAATGAGACACCCAGGCATGAGGGACCTGCCTGCAACCCTCGTGGATTACAAAACACCCAAACTGGCACTATGTGAAGTCTCATCACTGCAGGGCACCCTGGGGTGGGAAACTCACCCCCACCCAGATCCAGTACCACTGGTACAGGTGTGTCCTGTGCTGTCTGCACAAAAGCTCCAGATAACTCATGTTTTCTGATCTTCTGCCCCTTGCTCGACGCATTGCTCCTTTGTTTGCCTTCCCTTGCCCTGCATCTAGAGTAGAGATTACAAGCTGCACCATCAGCAGCCCAGCAAGGTCTAAGTCATAAGGAAGGATCTGAGTCATCTCCCCAGGAGAGTATTTTAGCCATACATCATTGTTTGTTTTCAGGCAAACCCGTACAATTATGCAACATAAATTCTTTTAAAGCATTTGGGACTTCAGTTCAATTTAAAATCCTGTAGGCTTTATGGCCAGAGTGAGTGATTACTAAATGTGTGCATACAAATGAAGACTTGGGAAGACGCACGTGGGGAGGATTAAAGGGCATATGGAGCCTCATACACACACGGGGCAAGCTCTGGCCAGGCTGAACCAGAAGATGGGAGAGCTGAAGAGCCCATGTCAAAAGGTGGGTAATGATAATTGTGGCTCCAGAGCACAGTTTTGCTCTCCCAGCGCAGCGAGCGTTTTCTGAGAGCACAAGGCCTGACTGCAATCTCCTGCGAGTGCATTTCCACAGGCTTCAGTAGAGCTGGGTGACTTTGCCTAGATTAACTCCTGATTTATGCTGGCTTAAATGGGAATGAAAATCTGATCTATTTCAAAACAAGGTTCAGCTACAACAGGATAGAGAGAGACATTAAAATGTCTCCAATCTAAGTACTTTCTCACTCCAGGGAAGTGTTAAGCCAGAGGCATAAGGCTGACTGTTTGCCCTCGGTGCCACAGCCCTGGCACCTTGAGGCCACTCCACTGCCCACTCTGTCACAGAGTTGCAGTGGGACTGTGGGGAAGTCACAGCCATTGCTGAGATGCTTTTACCACCACTCTGCCTCCTTCCCCTCCCAGAACAGGGAATCACATGGGGGTCTTGTCCCTTTGACCTTATAGGGTGACAAAGGCCCCTGTCTCACCTTCCTTTTCCTTTGCTTTAATTAACAGATGGAACACAAATCACCCCCTTCCAGCACAGATTCCATGTGAACCTTTCTGGCGTGAGCAAGATGCAAACCCAGGTGTGTAACCTTGAAAGCTGCTCTGCATCCACACCCAAAGAGCTCAGCATCTGTGCTGAGCAGCAGCAGGACCTGTCCAGTGCCAAGGGTAATCACTGGGGCTCGTGGGGCAGGAGGAAAATGTGAGGAAACACAGACCCAACTCATTTCCCCAGTGCCCAGCTCAGCCTTGGTGTTCCTTGGTGCTGCCTGCTGGGTGGAAAACATACCGTTATTCAAATATTACCAGGAGCAGGATGAAAGAAATCTGTAATTCAGCACTTGCAAAAAAACCCAAATTGTTAACAATATTTTTTAAATTTTTATTATTATCATCCTCATCATCGCTACTGTTTAAAGATCCAGTTACACAGTTGTGTGAGCCTCAGCCACCACTGTACAAACAAGGTCTTGGACCTTGTGAACTGCAGGGAAAGCTGGGAGCCAGGGATGCAACAACAGAAAGCAAAGAAAGAGATCCCAAAGCTGGGCTTAATGTTTTCTTTAAAATGTACTCTCGTGTTTTCAGGAGGGCTGGCAAATAAATCAGAGCTTGCAATGCCAGCTACCTATTTATTTCTCTCAGTATTACATTTTTCCTCTTTTTTTTTTTTTTTTTAAGGGAATACACAGACAGATTTGTATCTCCACATTTATTTTTTACTTACACAGATGTAAACTCTGCTGAAGCTGGGGGAATTATTGACAACTGATACTGAGGCAATCCAAGGCCAGACCCTGACCTATTGATTTCCCTGGGATTGCACGGGACCTGTGCAGTTCATTGCAGAATACAGTCTTTGTTTGTTTTGTTTATTACTCAATATATAACCATGTGGAATAAAGGACACCGCAGAACTGAAGAAATGCCTGAGGATTTCTCTTTAATTGAAATCAGGACTAGGAACATCCTTGCAAATCAAGAGCAGCCAGCCTTTGAGAAAATTCACTGCTTTTGCAAAGTTTACTTTAAAATGGGATTTAGCTTTAACTCTTTGTGTCTCACACCAGCTCAGCTAAATAACTTCTAATGATTTCTCTGAAGTGGCTACGCGCTGCTTAGTAGTCTGGAAACTTCCATGCACAACAGATGCTGGGCAGGATTCTTGTTTATACTAAAACTGTGAACAGCAGCTGACAAAAATCAAGTGCATGTATTTAGTAGAGATACTCCTGATATGGGCCCAAATCCATATTTTTAAAAAAGCGCCCCTGGATGCTCTTTTAAATCAGGATTTTGGTTCAGTCCAGTAAGAACCTATGGGCTCTCCTTGTAGGACTATGACCTAGAGCTGAACTTTACTTAAGTTTGCCCGTGCTTTAGATTAACTGTTAATTCAGAGCCCTCTAATTGCAATGGAGAGTGCAACGCAGAGAGCACTTAACTCCATCTGCAGTTTGGCTCCAGCTCCAGCCCTCTGAGAGTGTCCCAGCCCTCCATAAATGGGTACCAGCCACAGCAAGCAGAAGGAACATCTAAGCTCTGATGTCCTAATTAAAGTCCCGTCGTTTCCCACCCTGGAGCTGCCTGTGCATTAGGAAACAGCCAAACAACACTGTTCCTGCTTAGCTAAAGATTTCACAACATCAACCTTTCCTCAGCTGTATTTTTCCAAACTCCCAGTTCCAGAGGCTCTCATTTCAGGGCGTTTATTAGATTGAGATGTCTTGTAATTATCTGTAACAAAAGGGTTGGTCCTTCCAGCCTGTTGCAAATGGGCAGCATGCCGAACACTAACTTAGCAGCAGCAAGCTCCAAGAGGACCAGGCTATGAAGATTAATGCAACAAACTTGAATTCTTCCACTCCCCTCCCTCCAGTAACTCTGTGTGTGTGTGCGTGTGTGTGGCCGGGAAGGGAAAGAAAGGGCTCCTATGCTCTGGGATAACAGCGAATGCTACTGAAGAGGAAAAAGGGAAACACTGTTTATCCCTAGCAGGGAGATAATTGATCTATAGCCTGCACACAACTGATCTCAAAGCAGCCGGCAGCCTCACGGAAGGGACTGTAGCTGCCCAGAGCCCGACCGAGCCTGTCAAACAAAGGCTTTATGGGGACACCAGGGAGAACAAAAGTAGCACATTTCATTCCTTCATAATAAATCTTCCATCTTTATTGTGCAGGGATGTTTTGCTCCTGAGCATGCCGTGTTCCAGAGCAGGGCCCGCCCCTGCCACCCCCAACCCCCCGAAATGTTTGACATTGACCCAGAGCACTGAGTGGCTTTGGCTTTGCCAGGGATTATTTTCACTGTGCACAGCCAGGCCCAGCTGCTCCCTGCTTCCTCAGACAGCTCCTGGGCTCTGAGCAGCTCTATCACTCTCTATTTTATGTGTGCTAAAGGTAATAAAATAACCATTTCTAAATTTAACTAGCATTATATAATGCAGCTTTTTATTATGTAAAGCTGCTGCTTACAATGCCCAGAATATTGATCACTACAAAAAATGCAATGCAACCAGAGCTCGTCGCAATTAATGTTACTGTTTTCCTTTCTTTTTGTTTAAAGGATAAATCAAAGGTGTAATTTGTCCTCATGAATTCACCCCTGCAAAGCAAGGCAGGCACCGGGCAGCGTGTGGTTTGCTGTCACTCAGGCTCACGTGCAGCTTTCGGCTCAGAATGTGGCAGAGGAGATGTCGAGATGACAATTTGTTCATTATCCAAACCACTGTAAAAGGCAAAAAAAGCACACTAACCTGCATACTAACCTGCTACATTTCAAATCAGGTCAATTTTTTTTTCTTTTCTCAGCTATAAAGCAGCATTGGCAACCACTTAAGAATTCCAGGATTATGACTGTATATCATCATTACCACCTACAGGAGATTATGAATAGATATTTTCTTACAATAGCACATGAAGCCTGAGAAAATGAAAGATGTTTTCCTATTCTTTAGGCCTTTTGGGGGTAGAAAGAGGGGTGGGAAAAGTGAATTAAATATTAGCAGAGCGAACAGATCACTAAGCAAAAAACAATTAAATAGCACAGCAGCCATTCAACAATAACACCAAATCATGATGCAACCGCAGAGCGTGGGGTGACATACTAATCATGGATTAAAGGGACTGATTTGTGTCTCATGAGTATTCATGGGCAAAACCTGATATGTGCAAACTGATCCCAGGGAAATATGTTTTGTGGGAAACATGAGGTTATACCACTGTCTGAGCAAAATGATGATGGCTTTTCTTGACTGTGCCTTAGGGACAAAGGAAATATTTACCTTTTTATCTCCTACTTTCTTTTTTTTCCATGGAGTTGTTTTCCTTCTCTCTGCAGAATGAGACACAAGGTTTTTCCCATCTACCTACCCATCTTTGTGCTTGCCTGTACAAACATAGGTGATCATAAAAAAACACTCCCATCATTTGATGTCACCCAGGAAATCAAAGGTCGGAATGAACCACGGAGCATGCCACTGTGGGCAATATTCCTCTAATGGCATCCAGTAGGCAGTGTTTCCGAAGATGGATCACAACTATAATGAGATGGTGTAATTCCAGCCCCACAGCAGTTATGCTGTCAGCAACTGTGCATGGCTCATCCATGGGCAAGAGGGCCTGGGACAGCAAAGAGGAAAATGTCCTGACTTGGAGGGAGTGTCTTTTCTGCACCATTAGAGTGGCCCTGGCTCAGCTTCAGTGCAGAGATTGCTGTTAGTCACAGTCCTACACAACCTTTTTTTCTTCCAGTTATCTTCAGCTCAGGATGCAGAAAAATTAAAAGCACTAAAGGGTAAAATTACAGAGTCATAGAGAAATTTCCCTTATAGACCAGATAAGACTCCAAGAAACCAATGAGTCCAATGAGTTCAGTACTGAGAAAACTTCAAATATACTACGTAACTTTCTCTCTACTCACTCCAGGAGGGTGAAGAAGATCACACACCCCTGGTGGAAAGCCAAGGAGCTCTACAGCTCTTCCAGGACCAGTCCTGTCTCCTGCTCCTAATGCTCCTGGGCCTTGTGTAATGGCACTTGAGGACTTCTGCTGGCCTCCAGCCACCGTAGTAACCATCAGGTAGCAGACACAAGATGAGAGCTGCCCAGGCCCCCTTAATTCCAAGGGTCAAGGACCAATGTGGCTTCTCTCCTCTGTTCTTCATTCTCTATTCTCACTTCCCTCACTCAGTGTCCACCTGCCTTTCTCCAGTCTCCTTTCAGCCTCAGGAAGGAAAATAATCTCTACTGGTGTCTGAACACCAGCTATTGCCATGTATATAAAGGGACATGTGCTTTGTGCAAAACACTCTTGTGAAATGATCCTTTACAACATTTTCCACTAAACAACTACTCCAAGACACGAACGAGGCCACCCGTGACTTCAGTGTCACCGAGGAGACTGTTGCTGGACATCCTGAGGCATCTGACTTATGTAGCTCCAGCCCTGGTAAAGCAGACTGGTTTCTTTTCCCTATTTTACAGTTTGGAAAGTCCCTGATTTCTCCATCTACATCCTCATCTGCCATCAATCATCAGTGTCAGCACAGGACTGTTTGTTAATATTGAGATCACTCTTCTCACTCAGCCTCTGAGCAGTTGCCTTCCTTTCAGCACAGTGAAAAATCCAGCAGCTAAGGCAGTACATTTTTATAATCTTAATGGAGCTCATACTTTAAAGTTTAAAGGAGCTTAAAGAGTGGGAAAGCCCCTGTGGAAAATCCAGTGTTTTTGTATGCAAGTCAGGTTTTTGGTTGTGTGTTAGCTGCTGTTATTTTCAGTAGCCAATGTTTCATTTCTGTTCAGAAGCAAATGTAAGAAAGCAAGTGAGCAATTTATAATGAAATAATCAATGCTAGTGGTGAATTTGCTGGTGCCTTTGCACTTAGTCTTGCCTATGATCAGAAATTTCTCTTGGGGGCAGCATTTCTTACAGAGATGGATGGATTTATTTTCTGTCTTCAAAATGTTTACCAGCACATCCAGATCTCCTGCTTCAGCTGTACCTGCTGCTTGGGGGCCAAGAGCTCTCCTCACTAACGCCAGCAGGGGAGAATAGAGGCATCTTGAGGTGGAAAACCAACCCACAGGCAGGCCACTGTCCCTTTGCCTTCCCCTGAAACACCCCATTCAGCAGCTTTGGATAAGGCACTCCATGAGAAACTTGCAGTTCACCCAACCCATCCTTCATGAGGCTTGAGAGCCCCTCATCCCTCAGGATGGGCTTCTCAGGAGCACCAAAGCACAGGCTGCCTGTAGTGGCACCAAGCACCAGGGCTCACTAATGCTGGCATGAATCTGAAGCGGTGTCTCCACAGCAAGATGAAGCATATGGAGCTGACTCCAGGCTGCCAAGAGCCCTAAGTCGCCTAATGCCTGCCCACGCAGCACTGGCTTCTGCCCTAAGCCTTTATCCCACTGGTGTGGGACACAGGCAGGTCTGCTGCTGAGTGTGTGGGCTGCGGGTCACGCCAAGGTGACGGACAAAATGCAGCCAAGTCACGCTCTGTGTAGGTCAGACGTGGGAAGCTGCCCCACACACATGCCAGCAGGTTACAGAGCTATAAATGTTTAATTGGTTTCCCCACATCAGTCCCAGAGGGTGAGTGAAGCCCTGCAAGGTGGATGGGACGAGCACATGCAGTGTTTGCTGTAACGCTCAGGACCACGGGCTCTCAAACCCTGCGGGTTTCTCAGGAGCACATGTCCAAACCAGGGGAAAATACAGCTGAGGACAGCTAATTGAGAGCCTGGCTGTGAGCAGTCCCTGAGCACTCAGCTCTCCTGTGAACTAAACACAAGGAATATGGCTGAGATTCAACGTCTTGGAAGGAAAGTGCTTACGAGCAAAGGGCTGAAGAAACTGAGCAGTGTATTGTGAGAGATGAAATTAAGAGCAGAAGGGTGTTCCTGCGGGG